GGGCAATTTCTTTATGTATATGTGTCAGTTTCCTAGCTGTTTAAGATGTTCATTTCTAGAAGATCTGCTTTCCTTCCCCTAGAATCTTACCAGCTCGTTGAAAAAATCCTGGCCCTTTAAATTCCGTGTTTAAAATTCTTTAACATATTTAATATCTGTATCTTCTCTTGGATATTTTCAGTATTTGCAGCATTTGTGTGTCTGATTCTGTGGTTTGTGAGGACCATTTCGTGGCAGTTTTGTTTTGTTTCGTTTTGTTTTTTGTTTTTGTTTTTGTTTTTTTAGCGTGTTCAGAGGCCTAATCTAGAACTGGGTGTGGAGCCTGAGGACGCGTCTGCTCTCAGCCCCCTTGTCACTTTGCGCCTGGCGGGGCGGCCAGATAGAAACCCCGTTTTCTCCTCTTCCGAGGTGGTGTTGCTCCCGGTGCCACCGATGGGCACCCAGGGATGTGATTTCCAGAGCCACGTGCATTCGCAGGCACAGCGCTGGGCAGCTGTGAGAGCTGCCGTCCTGGGCCTCGCCGGCCGGAGCACGGGGCTGCGGGGGCGTGAGGGGGTTCTCCCGCTCGTGCTGGGCAGTGCGGGTCGGCCCGTTCTGCTCTGTGCAGTTGCTCCCCCACAGCCTTCCCGCCAGTGTCTGGGCCGCCGCAGGTGCTCCGTCGCTGACACCCGTGCTCGGTGTCCGTACGAGTCTTGGTTAGTTAAACTCAGGGCGCAGAGTCAAGCGTTCCAAGTTCCCGAGTGCGCGCCCGAGCCCTTGTCCGTCCGTCCGTCCTGGTAGAGGCCTGACTCCTGGCCGGCACGATGGCCGCGGGGGCGGGCGGCTCCAGCTCAGGGGCGGAGGCCTGGCCGCCCCCAGTGCTGTCAGTGAGCGCCCCTGTTCTGTCCCCGTTCGTCGAGGAGGCGGCCATTCAATGGTCTGTTTCCTCCCACGGCCCCCAGCAGGGCTCCCCACTTGTCCCCGGCTGTGGCCCTCTTTGTGTGCACAGGGGCAGTATGCTTCCTTCCCACCTCCTGTCCTTTTGCATGGCCTGGGTGAAGGGAGTTTTGCCTCTGCAGTGCTTGGCTGCAGCGAGACTTGCCTAGGCGCGTGTCGGGAGGCCTGCACATTAAAAGCGGTTAGGGTTCCCCGAACCTCTGCGTGGGCGGCACCGAAAGTCGGCTGCCTGTTTTACCATCTCAGATCTGGGACAGGGGATTTGTTCCCAGCCAAGGCCACGACAAGGTGCAAATTGGCCAACACTAAATCCGTGATAACCGAGCCACAGGCGCCCTGTCAGTCACCGCGTAGGAAGCTCTCCCCGCCACCACCTGCGGACCTGTCCCAGCGCTGCCTCCGTTCCCTGACGGCTTCGCTCATCTGCTCAAAACATTCCAACATATTCTACATGCTGTCTTCCAACTTTTTTTTTTTCCCCAATTCTTTGCTAAGAATGTTTTGGCAATCAGATGCTCTTCAAAAACCAACGAAAATAGCCAAGTGTGTATTTGCCTCACCTTCTGTTCCCTGCCTCTCTGCGCGGCGGATCGCTCTGCTGACACCGGCCCCCAGCCGGGCCCGCCAGTGAGCTGGGTAGTGGGGGGTCCTTCTGCCCTGACAGCATTTCAAAGCACTGTAAGGTGTGTATTGTCATCTGTCAGTCGGGGTCCTGGAACAAGGGGTCCCTAGTTAAGTTTGGGGAATAAACGCGGGGCTAAGCAAATTCTATTGCTGCCGAGTGTTTAGATGTTCTGATTGCTGACAGGCATGCAGGCCTCCCAGCAGCGAGCTCTGGGCCCCAGAAACCCCTCCCCAGCATGGCCCGTGGAGCTGGTGTCCCTCAGGGTACACTTCCAGGGATGCTGGCCTAAGGCAGGGGAGTTACAGTGGGAGGCATGCAGACCTTGGGTGCCACGGGGTTAGATGCCTGCCAGGCACTGCCTCGCCCAGCTGGGGGCGCTCGGGTACTCCCCAGTCTGTGCGCTGGCCCTGTTACAACAAACATAAATGCAGCCCCGTTTTAAGTTAAAAGTAGTTCTTGGCTTTAAGGCGCCCTGCGCCGAATGCTTTGGCGGCTCTAGATGAAGTCTGCCTTTGTGAATGCTGAGTCCTCATGGAGCATACAGGCACATGCCCCGGGGAGTGGGGTGCGCGGCGAGCCGCGGGCCTCTCTGGAAAGTGGGGACCCTGGCGAGTGGCCGGGCCTGAAACCTGAGCAGCCGAGGTGGCATTTGGAAGTCTGCTTCCTGCAGGCCCCGCCCTAGCGCCTTGGCGGTGCAGAGCCTCCTGCTCAGACCTCCACGGAGACTTCTCGCGCCCTGTCCCTTGCAGTGGCCTCCTCTCTGAGGCGCCAGCCTCCCCGCTCTCTGCAGAGCTCAGAGTTGGGCACCGAACCCCCCAGGGTGGCAGATTTCTTCTGTAATGAGGATCCTTTCTTACAATAAGTTCCTGTTAGAAGAAAATTAATTTCTGAAGGGAAAAACATGCCACTTATGTAAAAATAAAAGCAAGAAAAAAAATTCTGTTCAAGTGATAGCTACTCTTAACCATTTTAAAAACAAAGTTGAATACTGTTTTATAATTTGCATCCTTAAATTTTTTCACATATCATTGTGAGCAAGAATTGCTCTTTCTGTAACTTTAGAGTGACAATCTCCATTGCTAAAAAAATGAACTCTGTCTAGCTAGCTTTCCCAGAGACACAATGTCGTGCAGTTAACAGTGTGTAGAGACTGCAGTAAAGTTCTAAGTGAGGCAAGTGAAATTTAAAACGCCTTTATTAATTTCTGTCTATGAGAAAAATCACACATTGCTAAAATGGAAAAATTGCCTAGTGTTCGTGGTGAAGTGGTATTTGGAGAGAATATTCTGCAAGTGATACTTCCTCAGCGGCCCAGTGTAGGGCGTTGGCTCTTGTGAAGGTGTTTGTTGATCGGCATTGCTGTTTACATCGGGAGGACCGAAGGAGGCTGGGAGGCCCTCGAGCCTCAGGCCCCGCCCCTCGCCTGCAGTGGCTTCCCCAGCTGTGGCTGGCCGAGCCCTGGGGGGACAGGCCTCGCTCGGGGGGCGGAGGGGATGGCATGCCTTCCGAGCAGCCCTGGGAACTCAGGCGCTGGTACAAAGATCCTGACTGATGGAAGTGTTTTCCCTGGAAGAATGCTTTTGTTTCTTGGATGACTATAGCCAACACATGCTTACAATATATTCTTAAATTTGGGGTTCGTTTGGGGATTTCCATTTCTTTGCAGTCTGCAATGAATTATCACTTCAACTGTGGGCCTTTTTTTCATAAAAGCATTTTACATTGTACTGAAAAGATTACATTCTTTTGGCTTCGGAAAAATATTTCCTGTTCAGTTCAAGCCATTAGAGCCGGCTAGCGTTCCGCATCTGGGAGCTCCTGCCTGGCTGCCTTCCGTCACCGCCGAAGCGAGCGCGGCCGGACTTGGGGACTTCCTCGGGGCCCCTCTGCGCTGCCCCAGCGTGCCCTTGCGGTCTGGGGAGTGGGCGGGGAGCTTCCTTCCTCCGTGGCATGCGGGCAGAGCCTTAGGTGTGTATGTGTGGTATGTGTGTAAGTGTCCTTCCTTCAGGGTTGGGGAGGGGTCTTCCTCCTCCTGGGGCTGGGGAGGGGCCTTTCCCCGCCGAGGGCAGGGCCCCTGCCCCAGCTGGCACCTGATGGCCCCCTCCAGCCTTTGGCCGCTCCTGTCCACTCCGGCGCGGTTTGTGCAGCACTAACCCAGGCGTTTTCCGTGTGAGAGGGAAGCCGCTGAGCTGCTCTGGTGGAGAATTTCCCTGGAAGAAAGAGCACTAATTGGAACCAAAAGACTGAGACTCCCGCCTCCCCTTGGCCCTCAGGCTGCTTGGGGTGCAGCAGGCCCTGTGTTGGGGTTCGGGGGTCTGCACCTCACTTCCCGACTTTAAAGAGGAACCGAATATGGGTGCTGCGCTGTGGTGTGAGCATCGAGATGTCCAGGAATCCTTTGCCCAGAGGAAGAGCTCGTTGGTCCTGGGGGTGGTCCTTCTCCACTGACCAGCTGAGTGCTTGACATGGGTCTCAAAATCAGACAGGTGTTCGTGCCCTGGTGTGGCCTCTGCCTGGCTCAGTGTCCTCCTCTCCAGGCTCAGTTTCCCCACCTGTAAATGGGAGTTAATGCCAACTCAGTGGGCACCTGGGCCCAGGGACTGCCTGCTTAGGTGTCACTGTGACTGGTGGATGGGGGGAGGGGGTCGGCCCAGAGTCTGGTAGGAGGCCCTGAGGGCCTGGACTGAGAGCATCTGGCTGACAGGAGGGAGGTCAACAGGGCAGCGCCCACCGCCGGCGCGGGGCGACCGGGGACCCTGCCAGCCCGAGGCCCGCCAGCATCAGAGGGGCACGCCGACGGCCACTGCCCAGCCGAAGTGGATGCTGTCAGTCTACATGATTATTTAAGCACGTAATTTTCCTCCGGAAGCATGGCGACAAGGAAGAGAGGCTGCGAGTTTACGTGTGTATAGCTTTACAGGTCTTACGAACTTGAACATTTAAACTCTCTTCAAAAAGTAGCCCAATCAAAGGAGAACGGGCAAATCTTAGCCACCTGCATGTGTATGTAAGCTGGTAAATCCTCACTCGAGCTCGATTTTGTCAGGCACCAAGGTTCTACCCAGCTAGTCACGGCACGCGTGACGGCTGCGCGGACCCTGTGGGAAGCCACCGGTGGCCTGGGTGAAGAAAGGGGGTTCCGCGGCAGTCGAAGGGGGTCCACGCTGAACCTCCCCCTCCTTGGGGTCGGCGCCAATCCTGCCATCAGGAAAGTCTTTTTATTGTCTCCCGCCTCCTGCTGGCGCACTGCTTTCCTCTTCTTTCTCATTAAAAAAAAAAAAAAAAAAAAAAAAAAAAGATGAACATAATTTTTAAAGCAAGTGTTCTTTCGGATGCTTTTAAAAAATAATCTCCAAGAAAGATTATTTTCTTAAGTGACTTTCTCTTTATCAAAAGAGTCAGACTGCTCTCACGCCTTGCCTTCTCTTTCCCCACGCAGGCGGTTACCCGGTGGATGTTTTGGAAGATGACCCCGAGGCGCACCGGGAAGCCGCCCTGGCGTACTATGCTGCCCTGCGGGAGGGGGCGCAGCGCACCGCAGAGGTCTTCTCTCTTCCCTCCGGGGAGCAGGTACGTCTGCTCTGCCTTGTTGGTCCAGAGCTCTGAAAGACCTGGCTTGTTCGAAAATAAGATGTTCGTGAGAGACTGTTACAGATGGCAGAAGAAAAGCTCCTGGGGTGAATAGGGCCCTGAGTCCGCCTTGAGAAGCAGAAGGAACCCTGGATTGGGATGGGGCCTGGGATTCCCATTGGATTGGGAGTCCGGCTCTGCAAGGCTGAGCCACGGGGCTGTTGCGAACCCCACACTCGGCACTCAGGAGCTGTGTGATCTTGAGCAAGTGCCTTAACCCCTCTGATTTTGGTGTTCTCATCTCTAAAACTGGGACAGGGTGAAGCTTGCCTCACACTGTGGTAATGGGGATTAACTGAGATACTGTATGGAATGCCTGGCTGGGCCTCAGTTTCCGCATTTGTAAAGTGAGGGGATTGGCTGGTCTTTGATCTCTAAGGTTTGGCTCAGTTCTAAAATTTTGTGATCTGGAGTGATTTATACCAATTGGAAAGAAGTGACAGCCATTACGATGTTTAGCACTGATAAGACTGCATTTTGAGAGAAATGAGAATTGTTTTATCGGGACGGTGGGATTGTGGGTAAACTTTAGAAATTGTGTTGCTTTTAAGATCTTTTTTCCCCACCGCAGGACATAAAAAGCATATGTGAACCCTGGGCTGTACTTAAGTCAGTCACTGTTCTTTCAGATTTGAGGCTGATTTGTTGAAAGAGACAGGAGTTTCTTGTTTTGTACATGTAAGACTTTACTCATTCCAGAAATTGTTGCTCTCTGGCTGGTGAAATTGGTTGAGGAAGAGAGGATTTCGTTTCACTGTGGCGACGTTGCTCCAGAGTGAACTAAAACAATGGTCTGTCCAGTTTACATAGTGCGGCTTCCTTGAGATTTGTAATCAACTCCTGGAGGAATCCAGTTCCCAGGGGTGTTTGCTCCCTGTTCATCTGCGGAAGAGGCTGCTGTAGGCACACGCTCTTAGCGCCCCCTAGTGGCAGTTAAAGCAGGAAAGAAAGCAGGCGATTGGTCCGGGCCAGGGGCTTCCTCTTAGGGAGCCCAGGGCCTGGGGCTGCCCGGTTGGAGGGACTGGGGGAAATGCAGGTAACCTGAGAATTGTGGTAACAAACGAGAGTTAGCCCTGAAGTACTTACGGGGGAGGTTTCCATCGTCTGCTTTTATTTCATGCTTATGTATGGATTGCATTACTTTTAAAAAACCTAACATAGTAAATGCTCAGTGTGTGAATAATTTCAGTGCTATTAGCACAACCATAATAAAATAGGACAGTTACTAAAATTAGGTTGCTTTGGCATGATAGAAATGCTGGAATGACTAAGTACCTACTCGCTGCTGCCCTTCTAAAGAACGTGTTAGGAAAATGATCGTTTGGTTCCCTGGTAGGCCTGGGGCAGAGAACTCAGCTAGTTAAGAAGGGGTAGCGATTTCCTAGCACTTACCAGCTTGAAAGAGTCTCATTTGGGATGGTGTTAGACCTCCTTTTTGCTTTCAGCAGATTTAACTTTTCTTTTTGAATCCAGAAGGATACTTCCAAATAAAAAGATAGGATGTATCATGGCACCTCACTCTGATCTTCCTAAAAGCCTTTTCTTTTCATAATTTACTCTGTTTTCAGCCTGAAATGGTCCCATCCCATTTAAAATGCAGTCACTGATTTTTCTGGTCATAACAGTGTATGCTCATTGTAAAATATTTGGGATCCATAGCCAAGGCCAGAGAAAATAAAATCACCCACAGTTTACCGCAATCAACATTTTGACGTGTTTCCATTTGGCTTCTATTTCTGTGTATGCTTTTTTAACACTCAGATCACAGTCTGAATACAAGAATGTCTCTAATAAGCTTCTTTCCATGTCGGTACAATGCTTTATACGTGTGGTTTATAATGGCCTTGTGACCGTCATCTGGTGGGTGAGCCACGCCTCACGTAGCTGCTGCCAGCGTGGGGATGCTTCAGGAAGGCGACTCGAAGGTCGGGAGGCACGCGGGTGCTTACGGGTCTCAGGATTTGTGAAGGAGCAGCTCCCTGACACCGCGGAGGCCCACGGCAAATTCTTATAAGCCGCCTGCCTTCCTCACTCAGCCCACATGTTCTTTTCTCATTTTCTTGTACCTTCCTCGGTTCTCAAAACAGTTTGCAATGGAATGTCTTGGTCCTTTGCTCTGGGAGCCAGGAGCCATCAGTTTGATGGGCAAAGAGAGGGCTTGGGATGTGGGCGCTTGAGAGAAGCGCCCTGGGGTGGGGTGCAGTCCTGGCATTGGTTAGAGACCCTGAGCGTGCTGCTGGGTGTCCTTGTTACTCGTAAGCACACAGGCACCCGGTGCTGAGGTTCTCTGTGCCAGGGCTGCCAGGGAGCCAGAGCGGAGCCTGCAGGGCCGGAGGGGCCACGGGCTTCCCCAGGATGCGTGCAGCACCCCCAGCCAGGGCGGCCGGCGGCCCGGCAGCGTCGAGGCGGACACACAGGCTGTCCGTGGGGTGGCCCCAGGAGGGCCGTGGGCGCTGGCGTGGCAGGGCGGCCTCTGCGCCCATGGGCTGAGGCCCCAGGAAGCATGCGGAAGGGACAGGCTGAGCGGGCGTTTGGTCAGCACCGGAACAGATGGTCCGGCGGACGGGCGAAGGAGCGGGTTCTCTGGGAGGGCGGCAGCAAGGAGCCTTCGCCACGTCGCCCTTGGCGCTCAGCTCAGAGCCGGTAAGGTCTCCACTTTTCTGCGGCCTGCGGCCTGTCACGTTCCCCTCTGTGTAACAGCGAGCTTTCAGCGATCACTGTGCTACGTGTTAAGTGATTTCTCACGCCCTTCCTATGCTGAAAGCACAAAACAGCGATCTTACTATTTTTTTTCAGATTAAACTTGAAGCTTCATCTGTTCGCCTTTGCACTGTGCATCGTGACGAACCTCAACATAAAATCTTGGTCTTGGTCAACCCCCAGGACACAAAGACAGGTAGGTATTTAAAAATGGATTTAAAAAAACGCGCTTCCGATTTAACGTTCAGAACTCATGGTACCGAACACCCAGGAGATGGCGGTTGTACGCGGAGTCTGGACTTAGAACAAGTGGAAGTGAGCTGTTCTCCGCTTTTAGAGCTCAGACAGTGCATTGTTTCTGTTCATTGACACATATGGATTTTTTTTTTTTTTTTTTTGTATTAAGGATGTGAGACACCCCTTTCCCACAGTGACGGTATCAGGCCTGTATCTGAGGACATTAGTCATTGTTGTTAGTCACATGTGTGGGTCGCCTGCACAGAGTGGGGCCCTTAGGCTCGAGCGTGACCGCGGCCCTGGGAGCACAGGGACTGCTTTTACCCTCAGGGACACAGGAGGCGAGGAGGCCTCCGGCGGTCAAGCAGCGGGCCCAGGCCCCGCCGCCGTGCGGGGCAGAGGGGTGTGCCAGGTGACGGGAGGGTGCGGTTTGTTCCCGGTGGCGGCTCATCCGTTCTTCCTCTGCGTTATGCGGAGACCACCTGTGACTGTGTTCAGCTCTCCCAGCGAGGCCTCTGCAGAGTCAGGCCTGCTGCGTGGCCTGGGGCTGTGGGCAGCGGGCACCGGTGGGCAGGGAGGAGGGTTCGGGTCCCTTGTCCACCCTGAGCCCAGGGCCCCCGGGGGCTCAAGCACCTGTCTCTGACCTCAGGGGAGTCCCAGTGTAAATTGGATCCTATTTAGAAAAGCTCTCTTTTGTTACACATTACTATATTTTACAGATTTCCCACAATGATCATGTATGGTCTTTTTAATAAGAAATTAAAATAAAAAATAAAAAAAGAAAACCAAACCAACCCTTAATTAGATAGCCCTCCTTAAATGGTGTATCTGGTGAAAGTATGGGGTTTAGGTCTTTAACTACAATTTGCAAAGGGGGCCTCCGCCAGCTCTCCACCCCTCCTCCCATCCCCGACTTTGCCTTTCTCCCTGCCCGCCCGTCAGTCCGGGTTTGCACTCAGAGGAGTCCCGGTGGCAGCGGTGTCCCTGACCTGGGCAGGTTATTCTCTTGTCGCTGACGCCGAGACGGGGGAGTGCGTGGCCAGCCGCCCGGGAGCTGTGGGTGAGCCGACGCTGAGGCCGGGGGTGGCTGGGCTGTGTGACAGCTTTTGGTCAAGGTGTAGGATGTTGATTTCCAAACCTGGGTCTCCGTGAGCCAAGGGTCTGTAATGACCCCAGGCCTTCCACGGTGCTTTGACTTGGGGACTCCGCTACGAGGGCGGGGACGAGCCGCAGGTTAGTGACAGGGTGCGCCCACAGGAACTCCTAAATGAGCACCTTGTCAAAAACTCCAAAAATGTCATTTGCTGACTTTAAGAAAATGCCCAAACCTCAGCAGCCCTCCCCTGCCTTTTCTCAGCATTGCATAATATTCTGGTTGTAGGTCTGTAGCTAGTTTGCATAATATAAGCATGTGACTGACTCTTGTAAATCTGCTCCCTATTAATACGGTACTTAATTTTTTGGTTGTTTTCAAGAATGTGGTAGAGTAAATATTCATAAGCTCCAAGAAGTCTCACTCTGGCCCGTTTCTTATATAACAGCACTTTAAATAAAGTTTTGAAATGTTTTCTAAACTCCTGGGGCTCCGTTGTGTAGCTGCTATTAGGTGAGATTTCCAAAGAGCGCCTCAGCGGTCACCCTCACCTTGCGCCCCTGAATTTTGCATTTGGAAGTGGATGCGGTGCGTAAATGTCCCTCCTGTGGCTTGAAGTGCGTGGACTGCGAAGTGGCCGGTGGTGGCGCAGGCCCTCCCCGCAGCTCTGCACGTCGGCTCAGCCGGGCCGTGGGGATCGCGTCGCCGGCTCCTTTGTAAAGTTCCCCGAGCGGTTGCATTTGTAGGGGCCGAAGGGATTGAAAGTTCCCATCTTCTAATCACGTGGTTGGCTTTCTGGGCTGTCAGCCCCCCATCTTGGGTGTGGTCCAAAAGTAACCTCGTCCACATGCCAAGAGACACTTTTGTCCCCCTTGTCGCTTAAGCCGTTCCAGGGGGTTTAGGATCTGTGTGCCAGAAATCGGGGTGACGTTCAGATATAAATATATATGAAATATAGTTTCTTGTTACAAATTACAGTATCGCTTTTTTTTTTTTTTTTGCTATTGAGTTTAGTTCTTTCTATGTTTTGGATATTAATCTCATCGAAGATATGACTTGCAGAAATGTTTCTGCTGTTCAGTAGGTTGCCTTTTCATTTTGCTGATGTTTGCTGTGCACAAGCTTCTTAGTTTTATGTTGTCCCACTTGTTTATTTTTGTTTTTGTCTTTGCTTCTGGTGTCAGATACACAAAATCATCCCCAAGACTGATGTCAGGGAGTCATTGCGGTTATTTCCCTCATGACTAATGATGTTGAACATCTTTGCAGATGTTTACCGGTCATTTTTGTGTCTTCTTTGGAAAACAGTTCAGATCCTTGGCCCATTTTTACATTGGGTTGTTTATCTTCTTACTGTTGACTTGCAATAATTCTTTCATTGGCTCTTCATGGTCGAGCCTGTGCTGGCTTATTTTTGTGAATGGTAATAAGATTTTATTCTTTTTTGTGGCTGAGTAATATTCCATTGTCTGCACGCACCACACCTTTATCCCATCGTCTGTAGGACTACCACGTGCTGGCTCTGTGGGTGGTGCAGAAGCAGGCGTCAGCCTGCCATGGGTCCCACCCTCCAAACTTCCCTATTGCTGGGGTCCCACTTAAGAGGGTTTGACAGTTTGGGGGAAGAGTTCAGGCCAGAAACGCAGTTTTGGTTTAAATACCTGCCCCCCACCGGTGGCGGAGGTGCCCGTGTGGCTTTGTGCCCTTGGCTGGTGCCAGGCGCCCCCCAGACTGAGCAGGACCCGAGTGCACATAGGCAGAGGACATTCACACTAGGACAGGAGAGAGTCCTGTTGCCCTGGGGCCGCGGTGGACGCAGATGGAAGGGCCGTCGCAGATTTCAGGGACACATGGAGGCTGTTGTTTGGGATTTCCTTCTTTATTCCCTGCTAAGTTATGGCACGCACTGTGAGTCGGATTGAAACGTGGAGAAAAACCGCCTCCCACAAACAAAGACCTGCCATTCTCACCAAGGGACTCATGGTATTTGGAAAACAAGGAGGGTCCGAGGAGAATACTCAGAGAGTCCAGGATGGAGCCGCGCCTGGGGGTGGGGCGGGCCTCGGGCATCTGAGGGCCCAGCCCGCCGCTGGGGCTGTCTGCACCCGGTGCCCCGCCCTGAGGAGCTCGCTGTCCTGGCCCCGGTGCGCCCTGCTGGTTTTAAGCCTCCCTTCCCAGGCAGATGAGCTTGGGTGCGGGCCTCCGCCTGCCCCCGCTGCTTCTTGTGGTCCAGCTGTGCCTCCGGACCCAGGGCTCCGCCTTCCTTGGGTTAAAACCTAGGCTCATGGCAGCCACATGGCTTCAGGCTCAAGAACCGAGGGGGCTGACGCTCCAGGGAGCTGCAGAGCAGCTGCTGCCCCTCCCTGGTGGAGTCCGCCTGAGCCCCGGGGAGGGCCATCCCTGGAAGAAGACGTCTGTGTGGAAGGGCAGCCGCATGGCGTGATGTGGCAGTCGCTGTGTCGGCCCCGGTCTTTCCCGCCCCTGAAATGTCTGACCGGCTCGCCAGTGCGGCCTGCAGTCCCGAGTGCCTTGGAATGTGCTTGCGTGCTCTCCTTGGCCGGAACTACTCCCCCCTGCTCCCCCTCCTTACATTCAGCTTTTGCAAAGATGGCCTGTCACTTTGGTTAACGGTGCTGTTCCTTCTTGGGGAACAACATATTTCTTAGATTTGTAATGGGACGGTGGTGGCTTAGACTCCGGGGAAGAGATGGGGGACTTGAAGTCCCTTCTGTCAGGACTGAGGAAAGTTTTAATCATGGCCCAACATGGGAATGGCTTGTAGTTGGTGTGGGGAGGTAAGACACATGTGCTTGTGCGTGCGTGTGTGCATGCATGTGTGAGAACCCCTCCCTCCCTGGTTCCTAGGATGGTCCTCTGTCTTTGCTCAGCTCGGGGCTGGGTGTCCAGCTGCCTGCAGGCCACAGGCACATGACCGTGAGCAGGATTCTGGGCCCCTCTGAGCCTCAGGTGAGAAAATGAACCTCTGTGGCAAGCGTTCACTGAGACACTCCCTTGGCTTAGCACCAAACGCTTGGTGGGGGCTTGGACACATGGTCGTGGTGGGTATTATTTTAAAACAGCTGCTGGGCCAGGTCCCTCTTCTCTGAGGCTTGGTGGCTTCCAGTCGCCTACGGGTACGGCCTCCAGGCCCCCTCACGGCCTCCCCCACTCCCCGCGCCTGCTCTGGCACCTGTGCCCGGACGCTGTGGGCTCTCACCTCTCTGAGGCTCTGCCGCCACCCCTGCTGAGTCCCCTTCTCCCCTGCGGGGCCCTACTTGCTCCGTAGGCCCCGCCTCAGGCGCCTCCACGGAAGGTTGTCCGGCTTCTCAGTAGGAGCAACCTGCCGCATCCCCGCTGCTGACGCACAGACACAGCGCGATGGCTTTCCTTGGTTCCGCTTCCTGGCCAGGCGCCTCTCCTCCTTTAAGTTGTAAGCATCTGAAGCTAGAGCCTTAAATGTGCTTCTTAAGATTTATTCCTCACCCTTTCAGTTTGGGGGTTCAAGTGTATAAATGGCATTGTTTCCCATTCCAAATCCTGCTTGCTCCTTGTCAGGTATGTTCATGGCTGGTGCACAGGCAAGCGGTTGGCTTTTGTGTGCTGGCCTTGGGTCGTGCACGTGGCGGGAACTGCGGCTTGCAGCCCCTTGTTTGGCCTCGCCCAGCTGCTCGCCCTGCTGGAGGTGCCCTGAGCGTGGCCTTGGGCCTGACGGGCTCCGGGCCTCTGCTCACGGACGGCGGCGCCTGCAATGCACGCAGATGTCGCTTCCTGCCTGCTGAAGTCCTGCCCAGCCGTGCCGGAGCCGAGCAGGCGGAACGCCCCAGGGCTGCTCTCCGGCGCCCTCGGCAGGGTGGGCCCCCTCTGGGGCTCAGGGCTGCTTTGGCACCCAGCTCCATTGCTGCGCCTTGTATGCCCTGCCCGTGCCGGCTGCCAGCTCCTGGGGCTGGGGGCAAGGGTGGAAGCTTGCCCACCCGCCCTGGGGCCTGGGACGGCACCTGGCGTGTCAGAGTCACACCTGCTGCTGACATCTGCCGTGTGGTCCACATCGCCCGTCGCTCAGGGGAGGAGGGAGTTAAAGTGGTTCCGCACGGCCGAACCCCCTAACCACGGACGCCCCGGTGACTGTTGTCGCCGCCTGCTGGCGCCTAGTCCCGCTGCTCGGCCCCGGCCACACAGACCAGAGTTGCGTTTTCCTTTGGAAACCACGGCTGTGGCTGGTGCGTGCTTCCTGTTTTCTCCCGCTCGGACCTCGGCCCGGGGCTCTGAGAGGGGGTACCCGAGGCTGGCTCTGCCTCGCTGTCACAGGACCTGTCCTTTGTCCTCCCTGAGCCCGTGCAGCCTCTCTCCAGGGGCTTTGCCGCCGTTCCTCCCTGCCTTCTGTTTCCTCGCGACTGGGCATCGTGCTCTTCTGATCACAGGCTGCCCCTCTCCAGAGGGCTGCTTCCGTTTCTCAGGAGCTGGCTTTGAGGACGGCGTATTTTAGGCCTGTTAAATGCGATTGGACTTCACCTTCACTGTCATGGAGCAGCTTAAGATTCTTCTTCTTCAGAAAAAAACAACAGTTCAGTCTCTCTGGTGACAGCTTGTGTGACTAATGAATACTCTGCCCCGCACCGTGAAACTTACAAGGCGTCACCCAAGCGCCAGGCCGTGGCACGTTTCCTACTCGAAACTGTCGGAGTACCTCAGACACCTGTGTTACAGCAACACGCTGTAGTAGTAAATTGAACATCTCTTATTGATTCATCTTGTTCAGCAAGAAAATAATCCTTGTGGCTTTATGAACCCGTACGTTCCAGGAGGGGACATTTGGAACATGAAGTTAGTTGAATTAATAAGGCAGGTGTCAAGCATTAATTGGCCCTTCTCCCTCAGCCAGCCTTGTCAATTTGGGGACTGTCCTTGGAGGTGATACCATTCACGACGACATGAAACTGACGCCGTGGATGGGGTGCCGGCCTGCGGGGAGTGGGGCTGGCTGTGCCGAGTCCGCGTTTACTAACTGGCTCAAGCCCGCGGAGCCCTGGTCCTCACGGAGTGTTCTACCAACGTTGCTCGAAGAGCAAGAGGAATAGGGAGGAAGGAGCGGGCAGCCTGACCTGGCTTGTCCACAGACTTCCCTTTGAAGTCTTGAGCTTAACATTAAGTGCTAAAGACTGTTTTCTATTCCGTGGGACCATTTTCCCTCCCAGCCTTCCGCTAAAAGGGTTTGACAGGGAACGTGTATCTTTTTGTTTTGTGGCTTCTGGACCCCGTGGGCTCAGACACCTGGCTCGAGAGGCAGGTATAAAAATGGCAATGAAAGGGGCACAGAGAAGAGCCCAGAGGAGAGCGGAAGTGTGGTAGGTCCATTCAGTGGAGCTCAGTCCGCGCTAAAAAGGATGTAGAGAAAATCAGCCATGAGAAGACATGGCTTCACTAAAGTAAAGAAGCCAGTCTGCAAGGGCTTCATCGTGTCTGATTCCAACTACATGACGTTGTGGGAAAGGTCAAACGGTGGCGACAGTACAGAGGTCGGGGTGCAGGGAGGGAGGGGCGAGGAGTGGGAGCACGGGGCACTGGCAGGGCAGTGAGGACGCTCCGTGTGACCCCGTCACAGCGGGCACGCGCCACCACACACCAGTGCACACCCACCCGGCGCACAGCTCAGCAGCGGGCCCGACGTCGGCTGTGGACCTCGGGGGGCCCCGGTGGGCCCACGTAGCTCCATCCGTTGTAAGAAATGACCACTCTGGTGGGGGATGCACTCTGATGGCTCCTGGGGGCCTCGGGCAGTGGGGGGTCAACTCTGCTGGGGGAGCTCTGAGCTGTGGCACAAAACTGGGCTCCGAAACAAACTGGAACTCCTGCCCGTGGAATGGGTCAGGGCGGGTGTGTGGCTCGTTGGTCTGGTGGTGTGAGGGTGCACCTGTTCCGGGTGGACGCCTGCGACGTCCCCTTCCCGTGCGAGCGGCCGCTCTGCCCTGGCCAGCGCTCCGCGGGCACGTCAGCTCCCGAAGCAGCGCCTGCCCTCCCCCTCCCGCCTGCAGTCTGCCCTTTGCCTGGCGACTGTGGCTGTGTGCCCGTCCTCACCGCCCCTTGCCTCTCTCCTCCCTCAGTCGTGGCTGTTTACGCGAAGGAGTCCTGGTGGGCCGCCGAAGACGCGCTGAGGACCTCGGACCCTGCCAGAGACGGGCTGCTGAAGGTGAGGCGGTGCTGCTTTGAACGGGCACTGCAAAAGGCGGTTTTCTCAGCCATGGCGCCATTACCAGGGCGACCGCTTACAGCAGGCCAGCCCGGGGCCGTCTCTAGGGCTGCGTAAGGAAGCCGCAGACTGGGGCTCGCACAGCAGAACGGCGTCGTCACGCAGGCCTGGGCGCGGGAGGTCTGGGTTCAGGGCGACGCACGGCTGGCTCCTTCTGAGGTGGGGGAGGTCCAGCAGGCTTGCAGCTGGCCGTCTGGGAGTCGGCCGGCCGGGCGCGGTCCCCGCGCGGCTGCTGGAGGGGCCAGTTAGGTGGCCGTCCCAGCTCCTTTCTGTGGGTGGCCGGGTGGTGCTTAGGGGCTTGGGCTCCACCTGCCAGGGAGGGCCTGCCGTGCTCTTTAAGGCATTTAGAGGAGGAAACCCGCACACTCTCTGAAAACGTGGCCCAGGCTGTGAGCACTGAGCCGCTTGGACGGTCGTTCTTCCCACTTAAAGCGCCGTGTTGCCAAGATCGGTCCTGCCCCTGCTGTCTGTGGGGACAGCCCCCTGTCCTTCCACAGAACTTGGGGGGCTGACTTTCTTTTAATTACATTTTATTTCTTAGCCAACTCTTCTTCACCAACTACCAAAAAAAAAAAAAAAAAAACCCAAAAAACAAAATAACTTTTTTTAATGTTCTTTCTGTTAATGTCATCAGCGGTCCTAATCGAGGGATTAGAACTGGGTCTCCGTTTTGTGTTCTCAGAGACATTTCTCAGTGGCAGCGTCGCACATCCCGTGTTGTTTTTCTCCCCGGCAGTGAAATTGGACAGATTAAGTGCATTTTCTCTGTCTCCTTTTCTCCTGCCAGTTTTTGATGAAATATTTCCCTCTTGCCAGATGCAGCCTGCTTTTCTCTACCAGTGTTTTCCGAACTTTGGCTTTTATAAGTTGACGTCTATACCCTTCCGCAGCATGCTGATCCCGGTTTTGGACTGGCTCGTTCTGAAAGTCTGAACTTGATGTGGTGGCCACCGTCTGAGACACAGAGTCAGGGTGGCTTCTCAGAGTTAGTGGGTGTGGTTTTCGGAAGTCTTTTTCTCATCTAAGATTTGGCTCTAGATAAAGGTGAAATGTTTTACATTCTGGGCCAATTAATAAGTTTATTGGCACTGAGTACTTTGTGCCATTTGCTTGGATGCTACAGGCTGCCTTATTTTTCTTATCAGAGCAGTGGAAAAACATACAAATGTTTCAGACACCCCTTAGGTGGTCTTTGCCCTTGACCAGCTGAGGAAACTGAGGCTCAAGGAGGTTGTAAGTTGCTCAGGGTCTCCCAGCAAATCTAGGCCAACAAGCCACGGCCAGAAGTCATGATGGCAGTGCAAGTTTAGGGTGAAGTATTAACTAGAAACCCCAGCGTGAGTATTTATATCGAACATCCCTTCCCCAGAGGGTCCGTTCTCATGGGTGAAGATGCCGGGACAAGCACGGGCTGCCACTGTCAGGCGGCCACGCCAGCCTGCGACTCGGACGCCCTGGCCTGTCCCCGCCCGCCGGACGCCCTGGCAGGCCCGCACCGAGCTGTGGGGAGCCCCCTCGGGAAGGAGGCAGGCAAATCAATGGCTGTAGCCACTCTCCCCTTTGTGCTTCAGTTTCCTCCCCGGCAGGCGGCGCGGGTCGTGGGGGGACGTCGCGGCGAGGACCAGCGTTGCCGACCTTGTTGCGGTGCAGGGAAGGGGTGACCGACACCCACGCACCCGGGCGGTCACCATCAGCGTTGTCAGAGGGCAGGCCAGTGCAGCAGCGCTGCCGCCTTGTCAGTGGTGGGCTGGTCTCGTCGCAGGGGCCACGCTTCCGCGCTGCTTGGGGCTGCCTTTGGGACGCTGGGGCGCTCTCCAGGCGCAGCCACGGGGCGCGCGGTGCATCGGCCCCGTCTGCCGAGGCATGGCCATGGGCACGGGAGGCCCCGCCTCGGCCACTGGCCCGTCCTCCTGGGTGCCCACGTGCACAGAGCCGTACCAGGCAGCGGTGGGCATGGCGTGGCCGTGTTAGGGATGAGGCGCGGCTGGGCCTGGCCTCGCCTCGACCACACGCACTTTCTTCCTTGGCCCTGGCTTAGCGGTGGGGAAGAGGCGGTCCCCTTTCCCAGCATCGATCACGGTGGGCCTGCGGGCCCAGCAGCTCTTGCAGCCGGGCCTCTAGTTTGTGCCAAAACCAGGCACAAGTCACTGAAGTTCAGTTGCTTTTGGTGTAGCCATTGCTGTCCCCAGTGGCTTGCCCCCCTTTGGAGGCCAGACTTCAGGGCTGTTGGTAAAGATGGCCGATTGGGTTTCTTTGTGGACACATCCTGTAAACCTGCTGAGGCTGCTCGCCTCCCCCACGTGTGAGGTAACTCCCTGTTTCATTACATTGTTCTTTGTCCACTTAGGTCCTGCGTCTGTGGCCCTGGGGACCTGAGGCCCTTCTGGCACGGCCCCTCCTCCCTCCCGGAGGCTGACTGGTGTGGGAGGCCCCGGTGTGAAACCTCGGGCGAGACAGGCGCCCGCTGTGGCCCTCGAGCTTGGGAAGGGCTCCGGGGGTGTGACCGGGCGTGCACACCTGGCTCTGACGCCTGGGTCGGTGCCAAGTGCAAAAAAAAAAAAAAAAATCGCATTGATTTTTCTCTCATCTCACTTGGTTGTTTTTTTTTTTTTCCCCTTCCTTCAAAGGTTCAGTCATTTGGGGAAAGGATCGTGCTTTTCATCCTCAACGTTGTTGTTTTTGGAAGACTGGAGAGAAGACTGGATGACGATGACATGTTTTTCTTACCTTACTCTGGGAAGGAGGAGGCTAAGATCCTGTGGAGGGACGGAGCAGCTGTTGGATTTTACACAACCAAAGCGAAAGGTGAGGGGCACGGGGCGGCCGCCCAGCCCCCGCAGGGACTTCCTGCCTCGGGGAGGTCCCTGAGCCCTGCGTCACTTGGAGAGGGTCTTCGAGCACAGCAGTTACTGCTGACTCGGCTGCCGTGGGAAATAAACCCGAGGTGTGGGCTGCACAGCCACCCCGTTTCTCGTTTTACCTGCAAACAGGCCGAAAAATGCTTCTTTTTGATTCCCAGGCTGTGCCATGTTCCCCGTAAAATCCTTGTGGCCCTTAACGGTGTAGAATGACTTTGCAAGCATGGTGCTTTTCATTTCTTTTCTTTAATGTTACCAGTTGGAAGATGTGGGGAGTATTGGAAGGGTGCAGGGCCTGTGTATTGGTTTCTCGAGGACCATGGGTGCACTTGTAGCTCAGGTCTCCATGGGCTCAGGCACGGCCACCTGGCCTGCGCTCGGTGACTGAGGCTGTGGTCAGGCGGCTTTAGAGCAGGACCGTGGGGGCGGACGCCCTGGAACAGCGCACGAAGGAGTCCTGCTGTGAAGTGGTAGCCCTTCGCAGCTGCCTAACCCCAACGGATGGCGCGTCCAGCAGGCGTGGCCGGTACTCCTCACAGCATGTGGGCCACGGGTTCTCGGCGTGACTGGTGGGATGCAACTCCATCACATGACCTGTATGTTTATGGGTCAAGACAGGGCACCCACACCAAGATGGCTCTTGTCATGTTGGCTGTTGTCATGTTTCAGTCTGACACCCGAAGGGAAGAGAGGTCAGTGCCCCGACTAAATAGTCAGGTACTGCATGTTTTAAAGGTTTGTGCGGCGCCCCGATTGGAAATTGCCGATCTAAATCCCACGACGAGACTGCATGGTAAACTCCATGTATTCTTCGCGGGCTGGCACCGCCCTCAGCGGGCAGACATTTGTTCTGGGCAGCGCACAGAACAGCGTAGCCGTGGCAGGGGCCTGCGGCTCTTCAGAGCTCGACTCTGCCAGCAAAGGCTCCTCCCTTAGCACTGAGTTTGGAGGGGGATGACGATCAGAAAAAAATGTCTTTTATGATCTGGACGCTTTTGGGGCGTAGCCATCGGGATGTGCGCGGAATGTCCCTTCATGCAGGTTTGTCGGGTGGCTTCCTCACGATTAGACCGGGGGCGTGCTTGGAGGAAAGCAAGGTGCCCTTCTCCTCGTAGGGTCCCTTCATACAGTGGGGGCGGGGCATCTGCGCTGCTCTTGGTAACGCTCGCCTGACCACCCGGGGCACCTGCCAGGCTTCTCCTCTGTGCCTTACTGTGTTTCCCTTTGCTTACGTAGTTGTATCATTCAAGCACAATTTTAGTACAATGCATGGTAAGCCTGTAAAGTCACTTTTATTGAAATATAATTTTATGTCCCATAAAACTGTACCATTCAGTGACTTTCGGCACATACAATGAGCTGTGTGTAGTCATCGCCCTGATCCTGCTTTTGGACGTTCCCTCCACCCCGGGAAGTGGCCCACGTGGTGTCAGTCTCAGCTTCCGCCGCCGCTCCAGGCGACCGGCGAGCCGCGCTCTGTCTCCATCCCTCTGCCTTTCCTGGACACTTCAGATCAGTGCACTGACGCCATATGTGATGTTTTTGTTTTTGTTTTTGCATCTGGCTTTTTTCACTTAACACGGCGTTTTTGAGGTTCATACCAGTGGTAGCACATATGAGGACTCTGTTCCTCTTTATTGCTGAGTAATGTGCCAGGGCGTGACTGTACCCCATCTTGCTCAGGCACCTCCCAGCATGGCCCCTCGTTTGGGGCTGCTGTGAACAGTGCCACCGCACGCGTCCACATGCGTGTCTTTGTGCGGACACGTGCTTCCATTTCTCTTGGATCGATTCCTAAGAGGGGGTTGCTGGGTCATTTGGTGAGCATGTGTTGAACTTTTTAAGAAAGTGCCAAATCATTTGACAAAGTGGCCGCGCCATTATATAACCCCGTCAGCACTGCACGAGGGCTTCGGCTTCTCCACGCCCCGTCAGCGCGCATTATCGCTGGTCTTTGTGATCATAGCCGTCCTCGCAGGGGGAAGGCGCATTTCCCCACGGTTTTCATTTGCATGTTCTAATGACTAATGACATTCTGTTGTTATCGATATTAACCATTGTATGTCTTCTTGGAAGAATGTTTGTTCAGACTATCTGTCCATTTTTTATTGGTTGCTTGGTTTCATTTTATTGAATTCTAAGAGTTCTTTATATATATTCTGGATATGCTATTTTTTTATCAGATGTGTGACTTGCAGACATTTTCTTGTACTCTGTGCCTTGTCTTTTCCTTTTCCTACCTGTGTCTTCTGGACACAATGGTTTTCATTCTGCTAAAGTCAGATCTGGCCACTGCTTGTGCTTGTGGCTTTGAATCTGAGGACTCCTCACCTGAGTCTAGGTTGTGAAGGTTTTCTTGTGAAAGCTTTGTGGTTGCAACCTTTACATTTATGTGTAGACCTATCTTCGTTAATTTTTTGTATATGATGTGAGGTAAGGGTCCAACTTCCCTTTTCAAATACCTAATATATTTAAAAATTAATGGATTTCATTTTTCGAGCAGTTTCAGATAGCAGAAGTGTTGCGCCGAGCACGTGGAGTGCCCCCCGCCGATGCTGCGAGGCGGCTGGTGGGAGCCATTGCGGTGGGGTGGCACTCGGGGGGCGAGAGGAAGGAAGGGAGCCGCTGTCGCTGCTCACTCTGCTGGTGTTTTCTGGGAAACGGGACTCAGTCTCTTTGGGGCGAGTGCCCTTTGCCACAGCGGGACACAGGGAGCCCTCGGGAGAGTCACTGAAACGAGTCCCTGCCCAGGAGATGTGTCAGGCAGTCCCCCGCCCTGTCCCCGGGGCCAGGGGCCTCTGCAAAACCCGCGCAGGGACGGAGGAACCTCAGGCGCCTGCACAGGAGCAGCCCTGCTCAGTCAGTCACGAGCCTCACCTCGCGTCTCGGCGCCACGGTCCGGTGGCTGCGTTCCTAGCAGCTGCGGCCACGTGGGCCGGGCAGCCAGGCCGCCGGGGAGCGGGCGGTTTGGAGCCGCCTGTTACTTGTCTGCGGCTGTTCGGTTTGTGAGGCTGGCCCTGGCTCCGGCTGGCGCCGGCCCCGCGCACAGCCGTGTCTCTTGCCTTCCCCGCAGGCAGCCTCTGTGGCGATGGCACAGGTGCGTGCTACCTGCTGCCCGTCCTGGACACCGTGTTTGTCAGGAGGAAACACCGGCGCCGAGGCCTGGGCACGGCCATGCTGTGGGACTTCTGCGAGACGTTCCGCGAGGAGGAGGCCCTCGGCATCAGCCGGCCGATGTCTCCCGCCATGCGCTGTGGTGAGCCCCCTGTCGGGTGGAAGCCTTGGGTAAGGGTGGTGGGTGCACATGCGCATTGCAGGTGGCTGGTGGGGCGGGGCCAGGAGCCCTCCTTGGTCCGCAGAGAAAGCACCCACGCTCCAGCACAAACAGGACCCCGTGCTCGGTCACAGGGGCCTCTCTTTCCCAGCCCGAGAAATAATAGGGTTTAGATGAAATAAAAAGCAAATCAGCACAACGTCAGGGAGACGCAGAGCCCAGAGATCTGCTGCTGGGCCCCCCCGTGCCGCTGCTCTTGCCCTTGAGGCCGGTAGTTCGTTGCTTTGCCCTAGCAGCTGGGAGCCGCGGGCTGGAGGGGAGGCAGTGCCAGCCCGTGGGTGAGCGCGGCGGCTGAGGACCGGGCTGGTGCTCGCTGCGCACAGACAGGCTGCCCCGGCTGGGCGAGGGCCCGCCCGCCCAGGGCCCATGCTCTACGGGCTCCTGGCGGGCAGCTGCTCCTCTCTCCGTGGGACGGGGGTCGAGGGCCTCAGGGGGGCCCCCGCCTCGGTCCAGGCTCTTCGCTAGTCCAGCGCGGAGTACCGGGCCCCCGGGGTCCCTGCCTGGCCGAGCGGTGCCAAGGCCTGCATGGGCTCTGTCCCCGGATCTGTGCGCTGCGAGCTGCCCACACCGCCAGGCTGCACATCCTTCGACCGCAGGGCAGCTGCTGGTGGGATGTGGGTGGAGGGTGGGCACGGGCCCCCGTGGGGGTGCACAGGCCCCTTGCAGTGCTGGGGAGCCGCGTGCGAGGAGTAGGCGGGCTGCGTATCGCACGTTCTGGTGCAAAACGCCGGGGCGTCCAAGGGTTCTAAATCGGACGCCAGCTTCCCCTGCGGTGATGAAGTTGCCCTTGTCCAGAGCGGAGACCAGAACAGCCCACCTCGCACGCGCCCGCTGAGCCTGCCCCTTGGGGACCCCGGGCACGGCGCTCTGTGGGTCGCCCTCTGCGCTGCGCCCCGGGCGAGGGTGCCGGCAGGGGGCCGGTGGGGTCCCCGTGGGCACCCGCGGGGCCGGGAGCAGCGTCCCGCTGGGCAGCCTGGGGGCACTGCCTCGTGGAAGCGCTCACCTCGTGACGGTGGGGACACGGGAGTCACCGTGCCTAGGGGGATGAGTGGGGAGGCCGTGGGAGAGGAGGGCCTTGAGGCTGGGGGGTGAGGGGGCAGTGCCTGAGGGGAGGGGACGCTGCCCTGCGAACCGGGTGCCCCGTTCTCCTGTCGAGGCTGTAGCCCCACTGTGCGTGTGAGTGGAGATGGGCCCTGGCAGGGTGAAGAGGGCGCGGGGAGCGGGAAACGCGGGGCCGCGCGGCGCGCGCCGGCTCACGCGGGCCCCTCCCGCAGTCTGCAGCAAGTTCCTGTTGGCCCACCCGGAGCAGCGAGGGCGCCTGTGGGAGGCGGAGCCCCCCGGAGCCTGGGGCCAGCGAGACAGCATCTGGCTGAAGGTTCAGCTTCAACAGTCAAGGCTTCCACACCGTGAGTTGGCGCCAGGAAGCGCATGTTGGTCTCCTTTTGTTTGTCGGTCACTGAGGCAGAGGCTGGGTCACACGGATCGATCGGGCCCAGGCAGGAGCAGCAGCGCCACACCGTGAGTTGGCGCCAGGAAGCGCATGTTGGTCTCCTTTTGTTTGTCGGTCACTGAGGCAGAGGCTGGGTCACACGGATCCATCGGGCCCAGGCAGGAGCAGCAGCGCCACACCGTGAGTTGGCGCCAGGAAGCGCATGTTGGTCTCCCTTTTGTTTGTCGGTCACTGAGGCAGAGGCTGGGTCACACGGATCCATCGGGCCCAGGCAGGAGCAGCAGCGCCACACCGTGAGTTGGCGCCAGGAAGCGCATGTTGGTCTCCTTTTGTTTGTCGGTCACTGAGGCAGAGGCTGGGTCACACGGATCCATCGGGCCCGGGCAGGAGCAGCAGCGCCACACCGTGAGTTGGCGCCAGGAAGCGCATGTTGGTCTCCTTTTGTTTGTCGGTCACTGAGGCAGAGGCTGGGTCACACGGATCGATCGGGCCCGGGCAGGAGCAGCAGCGCCACACCGTGAGTTGGCGCCAGGAAGCGCATGTTGGTCTCCTTTTGTTTGTCGGTCACTGAGGCAGAGGCTGGGTCACACGGATCCATCGGGCCCGGGCAGGAGCAGCAGCGCCACACCGTGAGTTGGCGCCAGGAAGCGCATGTTGGTCTCCTTTTGTTTGTCGGTCACTGAGGCAGAGGCTGGGTCACACGGATCGATCGGGCCCAGGCAGGAGCAGCAGCGCCACACCGTGAGTTGGCGCCAGGAAGCGCATGTTGGTCTCCTTTTGTTTGTCGGTCACTGAGGCAGAGGCTGGGTCACACGGATCCATCGGGCCCAGGCAGGAGCAGCAGCGCCCGGGGGCGGTGCCTCATCCTCCCTCCTCCGCCCCTTGCTGAGCGCACCGCCTTCCTCCTGAACGCACCTGCCCAGGAGATTTGCACCCTGTTTAGCCAATCAGCAGCTCCCTGTGACCGAGGGGCTCCCTGCTGACAAGTATAAAGGATCATTGAACAGGGAAGCCGCGCATTTCCCTGTCTAGTAGAAGAGGGTCAGTTATAAACGTTATTTCAAGAGACGCAGGGCTTTCTGTGATGAGCTGGTCTCCTGTCTCCTTGTCCTTGGGGAGAATAAGAAGTGGCCACATCCCACAACAGTGTTCTGCCAACGAGCACCTGGTCCTTTTTACGGGCAGCGCAGGACGGTGTCCTCTGGAGACGTGCTCGTGCATGTGGGCGGCCCTGCTGCAGACACGTGCTGTCCTCCGTGGGGGTGTCACAGCGGGTCACACCCATAGAGCTTGCCGGTGGGGCTTGGGGGGCATTTGTGTGGTGGGTCCCACGGGAGGCAGGCGTGGGGAGACCTTCGAGTACCCAGAGCACTGGCCTCTGGATGGCCAGGCCACTCTTGGGCAGTGTTCCCTCTGTCTTCCCCCGCCGGGGCGAGGCTGGGCCCTAAGGCACGGGACAGGTGCGGGCCCTGCCGGCGACGGGTGCATGGGTGCTGGAGACGTGGAGGCCCAGCAGCTCAGGTTCACGGGCCGGCGCAGCATCGGCTCTCCTTCCCTGCCGGCGCCCGCGCCCCGGTCTGCGTCAGGTGCCGTCCGTCCCAGGCCCAGGTGCCCCTTGGCCCCGCCCTGGTTTACCTCAGCTGGCACCAGGGAGGCGGCCTTGGAGCTTATTGATGGTAATAGTGATCATTCTGGGTTTTAGCGTGGCGCCTTCCAGCTAGAAGGCCCAGTGCAGCGCTGCCGGTACTGGTGGGGTAGTTAGGCCCCGGGAAGGAGGACACGGCCGGGCTGTGGCCGGGACCCTAACGAGGCCCTTCAGCGACTTGCCCTGTGGCACAGGGAGTCAGAGGCACAGGGAGGCGGCCCCCCGCCGGGCCCCCCCACGCCAGGCTGACCCGCCCTGCGGGTGTGTGGAGTTGTGCAAACGAGGCCGCAGCTCCTTGACTGGGGACAGAAGACACCGATGGCCCGCCTGTCAGAGTGTGGGGTGACATGGAGGCCCCACAGGCCAGTGGGGAGGACGTCCCCGCCCACCTGGAGAGCTGGCTTTCTCTCAGGAGACCCGCACGGCCCAGGGGAAACGGGAGGTCCTTGCCGAGCCGAGGGTTGGGGCCAGCAGAGGCGGCCGACCTGCGGTCAGCAGTCAGGTGCCAGGGCTGTCACCTTGACTCACCCCGGGATTCGCCAGCTCCCTGCAGATCAGCCCGTGAGGGGACTTGGACGGAGAATGTTCCGGAAGCATGCACGCGTCCCTTGAAGGAAGAAGGGTCATCATTATAATTAGCGTTCAACTACGTTATGAACACTCTATAATTAAAAAAAAAAAACAACAAAAAACCTCTTTTCACTCTTGGTGTAAACTGGAGCTAGTTTCCAGTTTCACCCACACCTCTGCCTCCCTGCCCGCCCCTCCGGGCTGCGGTCAGGGGTCAGTCCACTCAGGAAGGTCCAGCCAAGCGGCGCCGTCTGCAGCGGCGTGGCCTGCGGGCGCCGGCACCCAGGCTGGCGGGGAGGGCTGCAAGCACCTTCGCAGATGAACGCAGGCGCTCGCTCTGTAGCTTCCCCGGTTCTAGTCCGTGGCTCCCTTCTTGGAAATTGACAAAATGAGCCCATTAGATGTTCCCACAGGTCACCCAGCAATGCAGATTCTGGAATCTTCTCCACCCTGGAAACCTCACGAGGCCTCATAATCTGTTTTTTTGTGTCCAGTTAGTTATTCTTACAGTTCCCTTCTTGAACTGTTCTGCTTTTCCGGTTCTGTTGTCTGTCCTTTTATTTCTGAGTGTTATTTTGGGAGTTTCCTCCAGTTTCATGGGCCGCGGGATAAGCAGGAAAGCCAGCTATCGCTTTTGATATCAAAGTAAGGCATGGGCATTCTACAGCGTTCCAGAGGGAAGCTGGTATTCCTTTCAGATGCTTGAAAATCTATTTTTGTGGCAGCGTCATTTGCGGGTTAGGTCTTCTAAAGTTTGCACGATTCTGCCTCTGATAACATCTGTGGCTTATAATGGCCCTGGAAATATTTATAGGGTTATTCTGAGCTTTCGAGGGAAGGGGTTTGTGGGAAATGTTTTCCTCACTCCCCTCGCTGGCACAGGAGCCTTGGACACTTGGCCCCGCCCCGTGTGCGTGGTCCCCGCGGGCAGCCTGGGACCCGCCCACAGTCCTTTCACAGAAGTGCTGCGGGGGGCAGACACCGGTTGTGCACAGCTTTAAAAATTAATTTTCTCACTCTTCAGCTTAGAGATTTGCTTTCTTTCCAGGTGAGTTTCTAATAGATTCAGTTGTCATCCGCAGGGAGGGTATTTTTCTTCCATTTACATTAAATGTTTAAAGCTAGAAGGAGTATACGTAGAGAGGTGTGAAGTATCGGAGCCGGGGGTGGGGCCGTTTCCTCTAACCTTGTTTCTGCTCGTTCCTGTGGGTCGGAGGTTGCCTGGCACAGAGGCAGCGACATTGGGGGTGGGGGTTGGGAGGAAGCTGTGCTGGGAAGGGAGGAGAGCAGACCCTCCCTGCCGGGGGAGTGCAGGGCCGGGGAGGGGGGGGGGGGGGGGGGGGGGCACTTTTCTGTCACACACATGTGGCTCTTTGAGAGGTTCCATGTCTCCCTCTAGTGGCCATTGTAGTCTGTTGCGTCCCAGGCTTGCCGCCATTGACCTGTGTGGTCTCAGATTCTTATACCTGGGAGTTCAAATTTGTGCATTTGTTTAAAAAACTTCCTGAACCGTCTTTGGTTAGGAATAAAGTACAAGTAAGCACTTCCTAGCTACTAGCGTACATTAGTCCATAACACACAAGAACAACTTCAAAATCAGGAAAGACAGAGAAATGAGAATGGATTCTGTACTTCGTTCTCTCGTTCTTCCATTCGCTCACTCGCTCGTGTGTCTGTCCATCCGTTCGCGCGCTCACTCGGTGGGTTGCGGCCAGTGCAGCGCCATCGGACACCGGGCCTTGCCCGGGGCGGGGGCGCAGCAGTGCCTCCGGCTGCGGCCCGACCGCGACCCGCCCCCGCCCCCGCCCCCGCCCCCGCCCCCGCCGTTCTGTGCGGAAACTCCGAGAGGGAACCGAAGTGTGCTGGTATTTTTAAGTACTTACAACGAAATTTTGCCAACCTAATTCTGCTGACTTACAAAGTCTGGAAGTAAACTTTAAAATGAACCTCTGCAGGTAACTACTAAGTAATATATTTATTCTTTCATTGAAAAATGTGTTTCATTTGTATGTTCAACTCAGACAGAATGCTGCATACTTTTTTGGGGGTCTGACCTTTCCCCCCTCCAACCTCCGCAAGGAAATTTTTGTTGGTGGGGGGAGGTGCAGAGGACAGGGAAGTGGTCCCGTTCTGAGTTGGGACTGATTTGGTAGGAAAAGGAGTGATTAACGTGTGTGATTGTGGGCTCGCTTGTGAGTGAAAATTCCAGTGAGCAAAGTGCAGGGCTAGGAACGGAACTGGAGACCTGACCCTTTCAGTGCCCCAATAATTGGAAGAGAAGAGGAAAACGCCAGCTCCAAAATGCTTGAGCAGAACCATCGCTTCCTGCCCTGCGTCCCCCAGAGGGCGCTGCAGAGGTGTCAGCGGGAAGGTCCACAGGACAGAACTGGGTCCCCGTGATCAGGTGCCCGCTGCTTCTGGAAGGGCCCCCAGCGTGTTCTTAACCGTGTGATCGTCCACCTCCTCGGGGGCCACCCTTGTTTGCTCACCCTGTTCTCTTGCTCGAGGAGAGCAGCTCTCCCAGGAAACTCTGAGGAGGACGTGAGCAGGCGCGAGCAGACGTCTCAGGACGGTGGAGCCAGACAGTCCAGGGACGGGGAAGGCAACAAGGTACAGTGGTGGGCCTGCCCTCTAGGAGCGTCGCCTGTGTTCTCCCTGGTCATGTGGCCTTCCTGCACACCGCGGCCCTGAGCGTGCCCGCGGCGGCCGGCCCTTGGCGTGGGCCCAGCGCCTCCGTGCTGTGGTGGGAGGGAGGGCCCTTGTGAGCGGCTCCGCACGGCCCTGCCCCTCAGCCAGACAAGCTCGAACACAGCCAGGAACGTGGGGATCAGCTGTCACCTTGCATTGTGAAGGAAAGAGTGGAAAACCTGAATTTCAGATTGTGCCACGGACCAGCGTCTCTCAAGCAGAATGGAAGCACAGACACATTTGTCTTTCCCTCCTCCCCTGCCCCTGAAGTCCCAACAGCAGACGATAAAGTGCGACGTTGGTTATGATGTAACCCAGAGCAGCTGACGCGAGACCAGACCACGGGCTGGGATGGCCCTGCGTGGTTCTTAGGCCTGTTGCTGTTCGGGATTTTATAAGATCTGGAGGTGATGGGGTTCCATAAGCCCCTCCCTGAAACCCGGCCAGAAGCCAGGCCCTCGCCCCCACGAGGTCGTGGTGATAACACGCACTCTCTGGCGTGGAAGAGCCTTTGCTCTTGAGTCCCTAAGGAGCCGATAAATGATTTTCAAATCCAAAACTTACATTTGCACTTAGTGGGAAATACTGCCTATTTTGGAAGGGGGGCAGTTCTGGGGTAGAAGAGGGAACATCAGAGGCTAGAAATACGAGATTGTTTCAGCAAAGCTGCCTGGAATCTGACTTTAGTTCTAGCCACCCCTAGCAGAGGAGGGCTTGCATGTTCCCAATGGAGAGCTGGGCTGACCTCCCAGGCCACAGAGCGGAGAGCATTGTGCTTTGCCTCTTTGCTGATCCCTGACTTTGCTTTCAAACTTCGAAGGCTGTTAGAGGAGCAGGAAGCCTCCACCCTGCATGACGTCACGGCCAGGGGCCTGTGTGTAAGAAGTCTGCGCGCACGCGCACGAGCTCCACTTTTCAAAGCAGAGCTCCCTTGCCTTGTTCTCACTTGCAAGTCCCAGGCTGGACCTGCCTTTAGTTCCCTTCAGTGCAGATGCGCTCAGAGCTGCTGATGCACCAGACCCGCGCCCTGTGGCTGGCCGGCTCCTCTGTCCCGCTCGCGAACACGCAGCGCGGCAGGCCCGGGAGTTGGACAGCGTTGACCGGAATGCTCTGTAGCTTCTCTTATGATTGCAGGAGAGGACCAGAGGCGGAGAACTGGAGGAGACGAAGGAAGATCAAGATGGTGCGGCGGGAGAAGCCGCAGCGGGGCCGCCCGGGAGGCACCGCCGGGCCGTGCCAGACGGGAAGGAGGCCTAGAGGACGGCGGTGGACAGGCGCGCGGGGGGCGTGGTGGAAGCTCGTGCTGACCTTGCTCCTGACTCCCAGAGGCCCGTCCGGTGGCCCGGGGCACGAGGGTTTGTGTGACCTTGAGCGCCCATCTGTCCTTGCTGTGTCTTCCTCTGTGGTCTTTGAGGTGCGAGTATTTATTTCCACAGGCTCAGACCCCGGCAGCTCCCTCGTTAGGCCGGATATGGTGCCTGCCATTCAACACGAACTTGGGACGTCTGCGCTGGAACTGCACGTGTGCGCCTCCTCTGCAGGGCAGGCAGCTCCCAGGAGGGCCGCGCCTGGGCTGGTCTGCACAGCAGGGAGCCCTCAGGGTGCCGCTCCAGCCCCGCGGTGACCGTGACAGCAGACACCGAGGGGACTTGCGGGAGATGCATCCCTTTTCTGGAGAAGCTCAGTCACGTCACAGCTCCCTGAGGATGGGGTCTGGGCCGCCTGTGCACACCGTTGGCCCTCGCCGCTGCTGTCTGTCCTCAGAGGGTGCTCCAGCCGGGCAGACTGTGACACGGGTAGCATATTAGTGCCTTGAATGTGACCGAGCCGAATGTGACACAGGCCTCCCCATTCTCAGCCTCTGACACAGCCCCGCCTGCGCCATGTACTCACTCACCGTGGGATTCAGAGCGAAGCCGAGGACTGTGCCCCCAGCCCCTGCTACTTACACACTCATCCATGTGTCCGTCCGTCTAGCCACCTGTCTTCCATCCGTCCGTCCACCCATCCGTTCACCCATTCATTCATCTACTGTCCATTTGTCCATCCATCATCCAACCCTCATCCACCTACTCACCCACCCCCCACCTGTCTGTCCATTCACCCCTCCGTCTGCATGTTTCTGTCCACCAGTCCATTCACCCATCCATCCGTCCATCCACCCATCCTGTTGTGCAGCAGACGTTCAGTGTGTGATGCATTGTGGACGGCGAACATTGTACTGTCCCACACGAATCATTGCTGCTTTGTGTTTATGTGACAATGAACTGAAGGGAGCGTCTCGGTTTGGTGAGGTCTCTGTTCAATAAAAGAGTTCCCCACGGAAGGCGAACAGACGTGCTGACGTGGTCCATTGAAGCCCATGTCAGCGAGCCGCACGGAACCGGCAGGGATGGTCTGGTGCTCCTGGCAGCCCCCTGGCCCGAGGCAGCTGGCCCCGTGGGCCCACGTGGCGAGCCCAGGGAACGTCGGCGAAGCATGCGTGGGTGTGTGTGTCGTGTTGTTTTTACTAAGTCATCTCTGTTTAATTTATTATTCTGTTCCTCTGCTCTTGCCTATCGTCGTTAGCAGCCATATTGATCCATAAACCTCCCTTGAAGTACACAGTGCCATGGTTTTCAGTACATCCACGTGGCCAAGGAACTACCACCACAGTCAGCACCTCAAAAGGAAGCCTGTTATCCAGTAGCGGGTTCTCCCTTCCCACCCACCCCCAGCCCTGGGCAGCCGCGGATCTGCCCTCTCTTCCTGTAGATTTCCTTGTTCTGGACACATGGCACAAGTGGAATCCTTCACCGTGTGGCCTTTTGCATCTGTTTTCTTCTCCACTTAGCATAATGTTTTACGGTTCATCTGTGTGTGGCATGTATCGGGTCCTCATTCCTTTTTATAGCTGAGTAATAGGCCGCCATGTGGACGGGCCACTCCTTGTCTGTGCGTTTACCAGTTCACGGGCTTCTGGTGGAGTTCAGTGTTCAGCCGTTACCCAGAATGCCGCTGTGAACATTTGTGTACGTGTTTTTGTGTGCACATATGTCTTCAGTTCTCTTGGGTGTAGACCCAGGAGTGGGCTTTCTGGGTTATATGGTGGCTCTTTGTTTAGCATTTGGAGGACCTGCTACATAAATTGCCTCTCAAAAGGACTACACCATTTACCCGGCCCCTGGCCACATGGGAGGGCCCGGGCGTCGCCCCGCCCCAGCCGGCACTGGCTGCCGCCGGCTGCTCTGTTGCAGGCCCCATCCTAGCGCGCCTGCAGCTGTGTCGTGGCTCTGAGGAGCGTGTCCCCCGATGACTAAGCTGGGGGCGCCTTTCCATGTGCCGGTTGGCCCTTTCTGTGTCTTGGTTTAGTTCCCTTTGGGGGAAGAAGGGTCAGCGCCTGGAATTGTGACAGGTATCCGAGCTTCCACGCTGAGAAGCCATGGGGTTCCCTGGCCGCCCTCCTCTCCGACCTGCACCCCTGTCACCTCGTGCAGGGCACAGGCTCTCACCGCGGCCTCGCGAGGGGGAGGCTGTGTCCCGGGAGGTCTGCGAGCCCAGCACCCAACCGAGCATCTGGGGACCCAGGCTTTCTGTCTTTTTTAGCATCCAATAGACGAAACCAGAAAGAGTGATTTCTCCTGTCAGAAAATCCTGTAGATGTCCACAGCAACGGAAGTGCTTCCCTCAGTGGGCCTACGGGCCCTGTTTGATGGAATTGGCTTGTCTCATCGAGGCCTCCTTCCCACCAAACAGAGTCACCTTCAGGCTCTCACGCAGGCACGCGCTGCGGCCGGGCCACGACAGCGTGCCGACGGCAGCAGAGCTCGCTCCCCTCTGTGCCCTTGGTGGCCGACGGCTGGTGGCGTCCATGCCCGGCGGGTGGCCCATGGATGCCGGACTAGGTGGGCACCGAGCGGGTGACTCCTTTGGTGCGTGGGTACCCTCGGGACGTGCGGCCATGTCTGGAGACATTTCGGGTTGTCACAGTGGGGTGAGGGGTGCCGCCCGATGTGCCGGGACAGCCGCAGTGCCACGCTGAGGCTGGGGAGCCGAGCCCCAGACAGACGGGCGGACGGGTGCCGTCAGGCAGTCCTCGGGCTCGGGCGCCTGCAGGTGCAGCCCTCCTCAGCCTCGCGGGCCGAGTGCTGCAGTCTTGCCGCATCCCTCGGTGCAGCAGCAGCCCCTCGTCCCTGCGCATGCTCTCTGCGGTTGGTTCCTGCACGGAGAGGGCTGCGGGTCCAGGTCTGCGACCAGCTCTGACACGGAGGTGGGACGTGGGGTATGACGCAGCGGGGACCGGGCCGGTGCTTGGGGCTTCCCGTCTCAGACTTCCCCTGCCCTGACTGGTCATACAGAAGCTCTTCCTTTAGAGGAGACATCACCCCACTTCTGGGGATGAGGTCCCCTGTAGGGCCCAGAGATACCCAGGAGAAGGCTCAGGCCCAGACGGCAACGCGAGAGCTTGCCTTTCCTCTTAACCTGTGTCTTGACCCCCTTTCCGGCTGGTGGCAGGAAGGGGCGATCTTGAATAGCCTTGAGGAGAGCACGGACCCCTTGCTCCTGGGCTGCTTTCCCAGGTGAGTACCCGAGGCGGCCACACGATGGCAGCCTTGCACAGACGAAAGCCTGCGTGTCCCAGGACCCCAGGACCGCAGCACCAAGTGGGCGGTGGATGGTCGCCTGCCGTCCTGCAAAAAACCCAGGGAGGCTGGCCAGGTGGGGGTTTCTAACTGCTGCTGGGAACCACACTTTACTGGTGAAAGACAGCGTGCAGACGACCGACTTGGGCTCTGTGTTGATGGGTGTCTGGACGGAACTAGTGTGCCACCCCGGCCCAGGAATTTCCCTCTTGTGACAGGACAGACGGTACAGCTGAGACTCCTCCTTAAGAGGGGCTCAAATGCCTGTCTCTCTTTTTAAGGAAAAAATGTTTAGCTTTTATTCTAAGTCCAGAAGCTCAGACAGATTCCAGTTTCCCTAATTTCTTCATCAACCCTATAGGCTTGCCAATAAAAACAATAATACACAGCGCCACCGGCTGCTGAAATGCCCCTGCCTCCCTTCACTGCCGCTGAGGTGGGCGGCCCTGTGGCTTGCCCGCCCCCGGGCCTGGCAGGGGGATGCGGCGCCCAGTCTGCGGTTGGCGGGAGGAGGGAGCGCAGGGGCGCACCCACCCACAGCGGGTGCGCTGCTGGCTGGGAACACGGTCCTTGTCCCCCCACCGCCCGCCCCCGTGTGCGGGCCATCCTTCCCCTCAGCCTCGGGATGCAGAGCAACCAGACACCATTCCGGCTGGCTCTTCCTCTCTCATAAACACAGCCGTATTGAGGTTTAATTGATGTGCAATAAACTGCATGTATTTAACATGCACACGTGATGGACATATTTGATTTGGGCAGATGCACACATCCGTGAAACCATCGCCACAATCTGAAGGTAGTGGACACACCGTCATCTCCCAGAGCGTCCCGTGTGCCTTTTTACCCGTGCAGGACACCTAACGTCGGGCCTGCCCTCTTCATGGAAGGGAAGTGTGTGACGCAGCATCTGTGGCCGCAGGCGCTGTTCCGCCCATTAAGAGTTGTGGGGCCCGCTCGCCGTCGTGCCTGGCTGCGTGACGCTGGGCCCGGTAGGCAGCTCCCGTCCTCCCTGCCCAGCCCCGGGCCGCCGCCATTCTGCCCGCTGCGTCCCAGGGCCTGACTTTTAGGTGCCTCAGCCGAGAAGAACCGGGCACCACGTGGCCTTCCGGGTCTGGCTTGTGTCCCTCAGCGTTGCGTCCTCCAGGCCCATCCGTGCTGCTGCTGCAAAGAGCCGCCGTCCTGGCCTGGGCGTCTGCGGACCCTCCTCCTGCTCAGGGCTGAGGGCCGGGGAGACGGCCCTGCCTGGAATCGGGGGTTCAGGTACTGGTGCAGAAGCTTCCCACGTGCGCCCGTAAATCTGTGGCACGAAGCACCCCCGGCACAAGTGTTCCTGCCAGTGTTGTGGGAACCTGTTAACACGCCTGGTGCGGAGACGACCTGCACCTGTCCCTCGGCGGGCGTGGGTGGTCGACGTTCTGAGGTCGTGAATGGCCGGGGGCCGCGTGGGACCGAGGGTCTGGGCCGAGCCGCAGCCCTGGCCTGGGCATGCTGGCGGGGGAGCACGGGGAGGGAGGGAGCCCCACTGCTCAGCTCTGCCCAGCCCCTGCTCGCGCCCCCGCTGCTCCCTGGCTTCTCGGAGTGGCTGGGCCCAGAGCACTGCCAGCCGCAGGGCAGAGCCAGGCAGCAGTGGACGGCGGCAGCCTGTAGTCCAGCCCGAGCACCTGCGGCTCCTGTGCGCCGCCTCCCAGTGGGCCCCGCTCAGCAGCTTCAGCATCGTGGAGAGAACACGGTGGAAACAGAATCTCGGCCCCGCCTCCCAGGCCCGGGGCTCGTGTTCTCACGGGCCCTCCAGGCGGCGCTGATGCTGCTCAGGTCTGAGAGGCTGCGCCCTGCTGGGGTCTCTTCCCAGCAGGGGCGCCCCTTCTGTTGGAGGAGGCCTTTCCGTGACAGCGCCGCCAAGGGGCGGGAGCAGACAGGCGCCCCCGTGACCGGCTCTCGCCCGGGCGGAGAGCCGCGCGCCCCGAGGGACCTCGACCTGGCTGCACGTGCCCTGGAGACTCGGGGATCCCGCTCGGCATCCCTGCCAGGCTCCTCATCAACACTCAGGCCGATTAGGTGCAACCTCTGAGTGTGGTTTGGTCTTTCTTTTTAATGGTGTGGCAGCGGTAGTCGCTCATGTTCACTGGGGAGCTCAGGGGGCTGTGTCACTGGACAGTGACCAAGGTCGGGGGCGGTGGGCGGACCCCGTTTTCCTTGATGGATGATCCTGGGTCCTGGCGCATCTCTGCAGCCGCCCCACGCGGCCACTAGATGGCGATGTTGCACTTTCCTGCCGGCCGCCGCCTCCCTGCTGCTCCGTCCGGCTAGAGTCCCGAGTGAAATCACAAGATGCCATTGTGAGCCGGGCCTGGTTCACTGAGATGCCTAGGAAATGAGGTGCAGCCAGAAGGCCGTGACCGGAGGGGACGCCGGCTATGGAGCGTGGCAGGGAAGCCCTTCGGGACTCTTACAGTCTCCCCGCCAATGCACTGCATGGTGCCCCGCTCCCCAAAATCTGCCCCTTGGGATGGCAGAATTCCCGTCACACGCCATGACAGCAGTCGCGTGGGGGCGCTTATAAAAGTGGGAGCAGCGTGTTCTCCTCGAGGGCACCCCTGGTGTGATTGCATCCTGGTCGCTCTGCGTACCCGCTCAGCCACAGCAGCTAAGGAGTGACAACAGGATGGCCAGGGTGCTGCGGAGGGAGCCCGCCGGGAA